CTGCCCGACTCCGCCCCTCCTACCGGTCTGGATGAACGTGTCTATTTTAACTCCTTGGTTGTCCAACTTCCATACAGTTCAATTTTCTGTCAGTTCTGGTTGTTATTCTGTTTCTGTATTGTTATTGTCCCTATCTTGGTTGTGCGAGGAGGCACAGTGTGTCTACCTATGCCTCCATCTTGGCCAGAAGTGGAATACCTAATTCTGCATCAGCAGTTCCACACTTAAGCTGTGCTTCGGAATCCCCTACAAAATCTACCAAAATTGCAGTTTCTTGAGTCTCAGTGCAGATGTGCTAAAACAAATTCTTTTGGAAATAGGGTGCAAAAAAGGACTATTTTTAAAAAGGTCCCCAGTCCCAGAAGTAGGGTTTAAGAATCACTATGGCCCTGGCTGGTATGGCTCATTTGGTTGGGTGTTGTCCCACAAATCAGAAAGTCACAAGTTCAATTTCCATTCAGGGCACATGCCTAGGCTATGGGTTTGGTCCCCAGTCAGGGTTCATATAAAAGGCAACCAATCCATGTTTCTCACAAGAATGTTTCTCTTTCTCTCTTTCTCCTTCCCTCTGCTCTCTCAAAAGATAAATACATAAATAAAAATCCTTTTTTAAAAAAAGTCACCCAGCATTATCCATTAAGAAGGATTTTAACATAATAAAAATGTCTCTTAGCATTTTCTTAAAAATATAGAATGCTTTGCAAGTTTGTATGTCATCTTTTTGCATGAAACCTCCATACTTCTCTCTTTAAAAATAAATGACACCCTGGCTGGCATAGCTCAGTGGATTGAGTGTGGGCTGTGAACCAAAGCATCTCAGGTTCGATTCCCAGTCAGGGCACATGCCTGGGTTGCAGGCCATGGCCCCCAGCAACCGCACATTGATGTTTCTCTCTCTCTCTCTTTCTCCCTCCCTTCCCTCTCTAAAAATAAATAAATAAAATCTTTAAAAATAAATAAATGAGCATGTCCTCAGGTGAAGACAAAAGAAAGAAAAAAAGAAAGAAAGAAAGAAAGAAAGAAAGAAAGAAAGAAAGAAAGAAAGAAAGAAAGAAAGAAGACACTATGATTCTTGCTACTCTTTAGGTACAAAAAGTACCACCCTAATACTTGTAGCACTTCTAGCTTCCATCACCATAACAGCTCTATTTTTAAGAAAAGTTGGGGGAAGTGTGGGGAATCTTAACATTAACATATGTTCATCTAAGACTCTATGGGCTTCTGTTTGGTGCCTATGGCCATTAAGAGAGCAGAGAGACATATGTCTTCATGTTTGTCAACATCCAGCAAAGGCTATAATGAGTGAGGGATCCATTCTATTGTGCTTAATACAGAGGTGACCAGCAGTCACCGAGGCAAGTCAGAAACTTGTTTAGGACAAGCGCATGCACGCTTTGGCAGCAGAGGGTGTTTGGAGGCACAGAAATACCTGGTGTGTGCCCCAAACCTAGTGTGGTTAATTCAGGAAGCTCAGGGGGGAAAGACTAGATGAACATCAGCCATGGTCTCCGATTTTTGTTGGAGGAGATCAAGAGAACAGACAGGAACAGCATAAACGAGCCAGTGCTACCTCGGGATCAGCTCCAGCCAGAAGTGTGTGAGAACTCAGAGAACTCGGGAGAGGTACACACCTGATATGAAGGTGACATTTTTGTTCTGTTTCTCTGGGAGAATCACCAGACCTTTAGCATAGAAAATCTTTACACAAAATGCTAAAAGCTGTGCTCACTTCAGCAGCACATACACTAAAACTGGAATGTGCAGGGAAGACGAGCGTGGCCACTGCACAAAGATGCTCAAAGCATGACTCAGATGAGCTCCATACATTATAATTGGTTATCCTTTGTCTTTAATAACAGATATGCTCTGTTCAACCCTCCAGGTATTTCTTCAGGAAGGGTCTAGGATCAGAGCAAACCTGAATGACCTCTTGCAGCACCGTTCTCATCAGAGGAGGCAAAGATGTTCCCAGAGGAGAGGAGGATGAGTGACAAAAAGAACGTGGCAGAGAGGCATGAGGGGAGTTCGTGTTAAGAAGTGCCTCACTTTGCAAAAAGCCCCGAGGCACATGTGGACCTTTCAGAGCTCAGAGAAAGCCCCCAGGTGTGATTCCCAGGGAAGCTCACTGCAGCCATCCCAGCTTCCAGTGGGACACAAACCTGGGAGAATAAGGGACACCCACACAGAAGTGGAGAAGAGGAACCCGAAGACCCTCTGGCCAGGATCTGGTTGCCATGGTGTCAAGCCTTGCCCAGGGACCCTGCAGCCCGGGACTCAAAACAGTGGGGCGTGTATTTGCACGCTGCAGAGAACAGCCAGCAAGCGCTCGCCCGCTGGGCCGTAGATGAAAGCCCTGCCTCCTGCCCCCTGCCCTGGCGTCCTTTGCAGACCCTCGAGGGGCTCGGCAGATTGCCATCTGCAGGTTCAAGCAGGAAGTTCAGACTGCTGGAGACATTCTGTTCCTGACTGTGTCTGAATAATTTAACACTCCCTCCAGAACAGGCTATCTTAAGAATTTGTCGATTCCCATGCATTTCAGTAGGCAACCTCAAAAAAAAGAGAAAAAAATGGGTGGGGGGTAGAGAGAAGAAGTTCCCACACATATTGCCTAAGTGCAGTGGCACAGGAGCGTGGTGGTCCAATGTTACTGCCTTTCCTCTAGAGTCAAAGCCCCGTGCTCACTGGTACATCTGACTCAAGAAGAAATGCTGCCCTTTCATGGCTCATCAGCCCTAAAATCAAGTCTGTGCTGCATGCATGGGACGTGGGAGAAAATGCCTATTTCTTCCCTATTGACAGGAGCCCGTTTCCACCATCACCACCTGTTCTGTGTGTCACTGTAGGCCAGTCACTTAACTCTTCTGACCCTCAGCTTCTCTACCTGAAAATTGTGAGCGATAGCACAGGCTCCCTCACAGCCTTCTTGTCCCCCACCTGCATTTGAAGTGGTTACGTCCACAGTGGCTCTATGCAGAGCACTTTTCTCGTCTGCCTCTCCTCTGTCTCCTGCATTGTGACGCTCCTCACCAGTCAGTCACTGGTAGCCACCTCACTGACCAGACTGAATGTCAAGGTGCCACAGTGCTTGTGTCCAAGTGGCCCTTAACTTTAAGGGAGTAGTCCAGTAAGAAGATTTAACCCTTGTCGACCAGTAACGCTTATTTTACTTAGTAATGGCCCCAAAGCCATTCACATAATTTTAATACAGTATATGGTCATAATTGTTCTGTTTTACTATTAGCTTTTGTTGTTAATCTGTTACTGTGCCTAATTTATAAATTAAACTCGATCATAGGTATGTATATATAGGAAAAAAACATAGTATATTTAGGGTTTGGTACCATACCCAGTTTTAGATACCCACTGGGGGTCTTGGAACGTATCCCCTGCAGATAAGAAGGAACTACTATATTTATTTTGCCAATAACTCTGTGTATTGAAGGCCTAAGACCCTCAGTATATTCATTGCTGTACATGTCATGCCTGTTAAATATTTCTGAAATGACTTGACCCCGAGGGTCTCATATATACTGCCACTATGATGGTTGTGCCCCTGTTTGAAAGCGGCAGAACAAAAGACTCACACCTGACCATATAAGGACCTCACATAACAATCAGGTGATGGGTAGGTGGGGGTTCCAGGCCCTGGGTCACTCACTACCTGGTCCCCTCACTGGTTCTGACTCTGTGCAGAAAAAACAACAACAACAACAAAAAATAACCACTTAGAAGCTGCAAAGTTAGTTTTCAGGGAAGGAACAGAACAGCTTTCGTGTTCTGACACCTCCTCCTGCTCTCCCATCCCACCTTCTCGAAGAACAGCCTCTGAGGATGACTCACTGGTGGGAGAAGATGAAAACAGCTCCTGGAAGGAAGCCGAGGATCCCTGCCAGATAACAGAGCAGGGCTGGTGATGCGATTTTTTCCCCAGAGAATGAAAGGCAGTATCTCCCCAATCTCAGGTTGGATTTGAGCCCTTGGGAGGAACCTGAGAAAGATAAGTGCTCACAGGTGTGGGCTCCTTTTCTTCCCATGGAATATGTTCGAATACCTGGGGGATGATTTTCTCTGCAGAGCACCAAATGTCATTATTCACTACCTCCTCCCAAGACTCCTTACAGTCCATAAAATAATGTCATTTTAAGGCTTATAATGAGGAAAAGAAGAACTCAAAGAACTACTCCTGAATCTGCTGAGGTTGGCAGAGTTAACATAGAAATCCCGATAAACCCCTGGGACTACTTCTGCGCCTCAATATGCAGGAGTTAAAAATCTGAACTTGGCTTATAAACGCATCGTGCCAGAGCCCAGCAGAATGCTTAGACCAAACGCCTCACTGCTCCTTCCTTTCCACCCACCCCAACTCCCCAAAGGCATCTCAGCTCCCTACCCAATCAAACACCCTTATGGGCTGTCCCTGGGCCTATGCTGTGTCTGTTACACCTCTGGGGTATTTCCTTTCTCTGTCATCCAAGAAGCTATTTGTTCCATAAAAAGAGCTTCTCCCCCTCCCCCACAAACAAGGAGGACAAGGTGGATAATCTGCTTTCTAAACACCTACTGAGCCTTTCTGCCAGAGGATGCTGTAAGAGCTGCTGGCCAGGGCTGTGGGCATGCAGGTCCGGAGAACAGAACGCCTTCCCTGCAGCCTCAAACATCGGGCGTGGCCTAATGAGCTTGTTCGGCAACGGCCACAGCAAGGGTGCAGTGCATCTGTTTCCAGCCTGGCCTCTCTGCTGCTTAGTTAGAACATCCCAGAAATGCTTAAATTCACCTCCCACACTCCCCACACCATCCTGTCTATACTTTTCTCTTTTCTCTCAAGATAAAGCCAGCACCCAGGGCAAGGAAGGGTAGAGAATATCTCACAAGCATCTACCTCGTGTCTAGCTCAGAGCTGGACATTGACATTCACAAGGACACTCCAGGGTACACACAGTCATTATTCCATTGCATAGAAGGAGGAACTGAGGCAAGCTCAGAGAGGTTAAGCAACTTACCCAACATCACACAGCTAGTGATTGATGGATCTAGCATTAGAGTCCAACTGTTTCGATTCCAAAGCCCATGCTATGTGACCTAGAGGACAAAGGATCAGAATGAACTGCTCGACTGGAAACTCCTTGAGAACAAGAGCAAAGCCTTAAACGTCTCTCTATTTCCCACAGACTAATCAAAGAAAGGGCCCTCCAGAGGTGATAAAAAGAATGAATGAATGCATTCATAAATGAACAGTGTAATAAAATAAGAGATGTTTCCTTCTTGAGGTGGTTTGTAACCTGATATGCTGATTAAGTTTTATGATAAAACCAAATTCAGAGTGGCGCCAGTGACCAAGAAATGTTAGCTTTCGCAGCAGAGAAAGCAATTGGAAAGGAAGCATGGCGTAATGAAACTGTCAGGGCTGCTGGCCAGAACATGCTCCAGTCCCAGATAACTACTGCTCAGCCTTTGTGATGCTGAGCTCCCTTGCTTTTCACACAGAGCAATAACACCCTCCTCCTTGCCTCACCACGTTGAGGAAGATCAACTTAAAAAATGACAGTGTACAGCCCTGGCTGGTGTGCCTCACTGGGTTGCAGCATCATCCCATGAACCAAAACATCGCAGGTTGGACTCCCAGTCAGGGCACATGGCTGGATTGTGGGTTTGGTCACCAGTCTGAGTATGTATGAAAGGCAACAGATTGTAGTTTCTCTCTCCATCTCTCTCCCTCCCTTCTCTTCTCTCAAGAATCAGTAAGCATGTCCTCAGGTGAGGGTCAAAAAAATTAAAGTGTGCAGCCAACATTAAGCTTCAGTGTAACTAAGGTGGCCCACTGACCATCATCCCAAAGTGTTCCCAAAGGTGTACGCCTTACCTCAGGGAGGATTACTGTGGCCAGCTGAATAACGGCCTCCCAAAGATGCCCATGTCCTAATCCCTGGAACCTGTGACTATGTTATTTCACAAGGCTTGCAGGCATGACTAAGTTAAGAATCTTGAGATGGGAAGACTACGCTGGGTTACCTGAGTGGACCCTCTGTAATCGTAAGGATCCTCACAACTAAAAGAAGAAGGTGGGAGGGTCAGAGTCAGAGAGAAATGGAAAATGCTAAGCGGCTGGTTTTGAAGATGGAGAACAGGGCTGCAAGCCTAGGGATGCAGGTGGCCTCAACCAACCGGACAAGGTGAAGAACAGGTTCCCTCCCAGGGCCTCCAGACAGAGTGCAGCCCTGCCGACACCTGATTTTTAGCCCAGTGAGTCTTATTTGAGCTCGGATCGCCAGAACTGTAAGATAACACATGCATGTTCTCTTAAGGAACTAAGGTTGTGGTAACTAGCAGCAGCCATAGGGAACAAACTAAGCCCAAGGTCCAGCTCTCCCCCTCAACCAGGTTCCATTACCTAACTCTTCTAGGCTGACTATCAACCAGAAGGCCACTTGGCTTATCTGCAAGGAGGAATCTACCTGTAAGACAGAATCCCCATTTTGGAGTGACCAGCACCCGTCTCCCAACAGGCAGACCAGCACAGGAAGCCCACCCACACTCGGAAGGATGCTGATGAACACCTATTGGAGGAAGCAGAGGCAGATGAGTCACCCTGCTCCTGGGCTCCAGCCCAGAGTCCGCAGCACTCATGCCCCACGTGGGCATGATAGGGAACTCAAGACTTGGAAAATTTTAGCTTAGGGTAAAAAGTTATTAAGTCTAGCAAGTAAAGTGTATGTTAAAGCTTTTGTTTCAGAAACTACAGATAAGGCCCTTCCTGGCTCCTGGGAAAACAGCCGACCTCCTGGGGCACTGCTGGGGATTACTGCCTGGCGACAACTGGAGGCATCCAGGCCTGTGTGTTCCAGGGAGAGACAGACAACCACCCGCCCCCAGGAACAGCTAACTGCCCAGGACAGGAATGTTGCAGCTTCTGAATCTCAAAGCCCTCACTGCACCTTGTTTATCGCCACTGCCCCCCACCCATCCCTCCTGACCCCGCCCCTTATAAAAGGTCTGGCCTGGAAAGAAAAGACAAGATGGTCTGTTAGGGTGTGAACCTGCCATCTTCACAGATCATCGGCCATCTGAATAAAGTGCCCATAAAGATTCAATTGCTGTTAATCATTGTTAATCATTGCTTATTGGGTTTGGTAGTGACAGGCAGCCTGAATGCCGGTGTCTTTTCCGGTTACAGGCACAGCCTTGTCAAGGGAACCGGCATAACTGAGTCTATTGGCTACAATGCTCTCTCTCAAGCAGGTTTTGGAAAGGACTGGCAACGCAGTATTCAAAGAAGTTCCTTTCTCTATGCATACTTGGCTGACCAGCACCTCTTATGGGTGTTAGATGTGCTCTTTCTTTAGAATTGTGACTACTGAAAAAATACATTTAAAGCACTTAGAACACAGGCCCAGCCAAAAGTAGGTAGTCAACTAATGTTATTATTATTATCATCATTATTATTAATATATTCAATCCAGTTATATTCAAGTGTGGTATCCTGGGGCCGTTTTCTCTCTTTAAGGTGGTGTTATTTTACCACTCTGCTCTTTATGGCCTGGCGTTAAATATCCAGCTTCTCCCTCACCCCTTTCACTGACTGCACAATGGATGATCTGCAGGATCTGTTTCAATAAATCAGCAAATGCATGTGAAGCCGTGAGTATAGTGCATGGCACAGAACGGAAATGCATCAAGTGCTTAAATTCCCACTCATTTCCTCTCCGTTACGGGCTGATTTGTGTCCCCTCAGAATTCATATATTGAAGTTCTAACCCCCAGGGCCTCAGAATGTGACTGCATTTGGAGACAGAGCCTTTAAACAGGTGATTGGGGTACACGAGGCTCTCAGGGAGGCCCCCAACCCAATCTAACTGATGTCCTTATAGAAAGAGATGAGGACACACAAAGAGACACCAGGGATGTACGCACACAGAGGGGTGACCTTGTAAAGAAGGGTCAATAGGCCGCCATCTACAATCCAAGGAGAAAGGCCCCAGAGGAAATCAACCTGGTGTCGCTCTGATCTTGGACTTCCAGCCTCCAGAAATGTGAGAACAAACTTCTGTGGTCTAAGTTGCCTAATAGCTTGGCATCCCCAGAAAACTAATATACTCTCCTTTCAAGAACAGATAATTTTTTTGTATCTCTGAACATCAGAAAGCTGTCGCATGATGGATGCGACTTAAAAGAGGTCCCCTGTCCTTCTGTGGGCCTGAAAAGCCTGTTTTGTGAGGGAAGAGCACACGTTTTCCCACCAGGACTTGGCCGCTGTGCCTGGCACTCGGGAGAGGGTTTCTGGCTTCCTGAGGAAGTGGGTGCATTAGCTTCACAGTCCCCGCAAGAGGCCCGCATGCACAGCCGTGCATCAGAGCCTCGCAGAGGAAACACCATTGGCACTGCAGATACAAAAAACTGTAAAATCACAAATGACAGATTCGTGACTTCCCTGAGGGAATAAATAGCAAGAACAGATGGGCCCTGAAACTGGGAGGTTTCATTTAAATGTTAATAAATAACATTTTGATAAGTTAATGAACGTGGTAAGAAAAGAATAGCAAACCAGGACCAGCAAGCCAAAACACAGTGTGCCCACCCTGGTGTTGGCCCAGGATGATTTCCCCATAGGGAGGGGCACAAGGTTACATGGCAAAATCATCTCCCAAGGATTTACAGCATCCCCTCTGGACTGGCAAAGATGAACACATTGCGAGGGGTGGCATCCATAGCAATACAATGCACCCCATTTTCCCTGTGCACATCTTCTGGGCCCCACATGGGGCAACAGTCCTTCCAAGGCCCAGGTGATTTCTAGGTAAAGGGGTAACTTACAGACTTGCAGGGGACAGAGAGCAAGTGCGCTCAGAGGTCAAAACCATTTCCCCTGGAGACTGCTTGTTCCCGGCCAATCCAGCCTGTTCCCAATTACTCTCTCCTTGCTCATCTCTGGAGACCTTCAGAGGAGAGAGAAAATAGCACTGGGCAAGGAGACCGAAGGATCACAGCCACACACTGACCATGAGACTTCAGATGAGTGACGTAGCTTCTCTGCAAGGTGGGGATAACACGTTCTACCTTGCAGGAATTTGTTGGAAAGAGCAAACAAGGTCCCCTCCTTAGAAAATGGTAGGCAAGTAACTGGCATTTGACAAATGCAAACCACTCCCAGTGGTGCCCCCAAATAGCACAGTGTGCACGGGGGGCCCATCAGTGAACACTGTGTAGCCCTGGGCTTTCTTGGTTATTCCTGGCAAACAAGCGCAGGTTCTCTGGTTTTATGGCCCTCCCACACTGTCAGGCTCTGACTTCAAATCATCTGTTGGGAAGGACAGGATGAAGAACAGACAAAAGGTTGGAGACGATGAGCCCCAGATGCTAAGTATCTTAACTGGGACATCCAATTTTGTGAAATGACTCAGAGAGACAAAACAAGCAACCAGAAAAGCAGCAGAAAGGACGGAGAGGGAGCCAGGACTGGAGGCGCCGGCTCTGCAGCAAGTGGGCTGGCATGAGCACGCAGGCGACTGATGCCCCAGAGGCTCACAAGCCAAAAGGACGGAGCAGCCTCAGCCCAGCAGGAGAAAGCTAGCAGTTCAAAAGGATTCTGAAGGGGAAATTAACCCCAGGGAGCCCTGAGTTCCCACGTGATTCCCCAGGAGGATGCCTGGGGATCCCATCTGTGAGCGCCATGAACTTAAGTCTTAACAGAAGGAGAAAGGACATATTTGGTAAACACGTACTCTAAATCAGGCTCTCTTCTTGTCTCACCTGCATCCACAGCATCCCCAGCCTAACGGGAAATAGACTCGTGAAATATGCTTCTAGGACCTGACACAGTGGGCGTTTGCCAAACAGAGACTGTAGAGCAGATACCGGGTACAAAGTCTGTGTAGTCAGACTCCTGGAATCAATGGGCAAGCGTTGCGTTTAAAATAGGATTCATATAAATAGTTGCTTTCTTGAGGTGGGTGCAGAAGAGAAGGGAGTGGCATAGAGGAACGGATCCCCCTATTGGAATGGGGACCCACGTGGTGCAAACGAGCTCCTGTCCTGCTCTCGTTTGCTTCCATTTTTAAGCCAACGCCTCTCTCTTCCCTTCTAGT